TAAAAGAAATAAAAATGTTAGTGCTCATTACTTGCTTTTGTAGGTTGCAATAAAGGGTAAGTTAAATTTTAATTCAAGGAAGACCCCTGTATCGACCTGCTTCTTCCACACTCTCTACCTGAGGTGTAAGTGCTGTTAATTACTCGCATAGGTTACTCCTCAGCACATTGCTAAGACCAGCACCTCTTTGTGCTGAAGTCCCCTTTCCTTTACCCAGAGGTAGCAGGCTTGCAGCAGGGTGGGTTGCTTCAGCTCAAGTCTGGTGTTTAATACATGTGGGTGGAGGAGAGAAATTTTGTATGTTTTAACCAAAATCCAGGTTCATTATGCATAGCCTTAAGGGGGCTGAAAGTATTAAAATCCACACTTACCCTGGTGAATTGAAACAGAGACAAGGTTAAACCTGGAGGATTGATGAGTTTTACTCTCTGCATGGTTAAATCCTGCTGAGGGGAGATGCTGTAAAAGGAAGGTAGCCCAGATGATGAGAAGAGGGGGGGAAAAAGATTGTGGGTTGGGGTATTTCCATTCAGGGTGAAACATTAGTTCTCTTTCAGGATTTACCTGATTCCCCTCCTTCTCCTGCTGCTCTTTGATAGTGTCTGCCCATGCAGTGTTATTATCCAAGCAGCTCCACTTGGATTTTGACTTAAACAGAGGTTACCAGCCCAGGAGGTTGGGGCTGCGGGGTGCTGTGAGGTGCAGGGCTCCCTGCCTGTGGCTGTGGGTGCAGCCCCCCCTTTGCACCCATGAGACCCAGGGTGTGAATGTCAGATTCAGTTGGTGCTGGCAGCGTTTCTCTGCTGGTGAAGATAAATTCTTGCTTGAATTTCTCTCCCTGGGCCCTGCTTGCTTGGAAAACGGCTGTTTATGTAAAATCTGTAGGGTTGGAGCAAATGCTGCAGTGATCCCTGAACTCTTGTACCCATCAGGAGGCTATCAGGAACCCCAAAATGAACACAAAACAGAGGGGACTGGTTCTCCACCAGTGGGAAAGGCCAGGGTGAGCTGCAAAGAAACATTGCTTTTGCCAGCTCACCAGGAAAACACCAAAACTCCTGTTTCTGTGGTTGGTTTCTGTGGCGTTCCCCAGAATGTGCCCATTGTTTTTGAACTTCTTTGAATGTATAAGAGAAGGGTGTATGTAGAGGAATTGCAGGCAGGAGCCCCTCTGTGCAGTGGAGGTGATGTTTGGGAGGAATTCCCCTTGGAATGCTGCAGAATGCCTTTGAGGTGTGCTTGGCAAGCAGTGAGAAGGTTTGAAGCTTGTTATCTGTGAGTGAGGCTTGTGGGCAAAACAAAAGTGGTTTCTGTTGCTCACTGGCACCGAGGTGCAGGGAAGGAGAAGGCTGCATCCTATGGGAGAGGTAACAGCACATAGCAGAGGGAGGGGAGCAGGAATGAAAGTGGGATGTTTCCCTGGAAGTGCCCGAGCTGCTCAGCCTCTTCCAATGGGGTTTGTCAGCTTTGGCCACCTGCGTGTGAAACGATCTCCTATCAAAGCACCACTTTGAGCATTCCCTCTCTGCTCCCGGCACGTGAACCCCGCTGCTGGCCGGGGATGCCATCGATCGCAGCGCCGGGGGAAGCGCTCGTTGCTGTAATGAGGGGGTCTGAGCCGAGGGGGCAAAGCCGGGCTGAGGGCTGTGATTGTCAGAGGACAAAACAGCAGCATTCTGCATCTCCCTTCTGAGCACTGACACAGCCTTAAGGTCACATTGTCCCCAGTGCCGCTTGCCACCTGGTTTCTCAGTTGAAACAGCAAAAGTGAGTTGCATTTATCAGATAAGAGTCAGCAAAGATGGAAAATGGTGCAGGTTTGGGTAAGGCGTTCCTCTCCCTCCTCTTTTTTTCCTTTGAGGTGTCAGTACTCACAGCTTTTTGTGCATCAGCCCTGTTTTGTAGAGGTGTTCTGATTTGGCATTTGTGTTAAACTTGCCATAACCCCTGTGCTCGCTCCCAGTGTAACACACAAGCTCCAGCTGGGGTTTCACACTCTGTACACACAAAACACAACATCAACCATTTTGTCATATAAGGAGATGGGCACGTCCCTCACCAAAGCCTCATTTGCTGAGGGTAGAGCAGTGATGGGTTAATTAGCTGCTAAATGAGAATTAATGGGAGAGATGTGGCCCTGTGAATGAGGATGGTGGCTTGTCTCAGTGGTCCATGTGTGTCTGTCCATCCTCCTGCATCGCCAGAGCTGATACTTGGTTCCTTGTCTTCCTGGGATTAATGGCTGGCGTTTTGCTGCCATCAGACCTCAGAAGTTCCCTCTTTCTCGAGGCTGACAGGTAACTTTCTGCAGTGGAAGCATCTGCAGACAGTTTTCAAACCAGTTGCCATCTCTTATTGATCCGTGAAGGAGCAAAGCATCAAAGCAGCCCCTAGCGAGGGTGGTCCCTGTTGTAGCCTCCATTGAGGCAGCAGCTGAAATCACAGTGTCTGTGTCAGGTCTGGATTTCATCCTTTGAAGCCATGTTTTATGCAGTCTTGAGCAGTGGAGAAGTCTCTTTCCTCTTGTCTGTGATGACAGTTTTCCAGGAGCAGCTTTCCCAAGTGCTGGCCCTGATGGACCACTGAGACACTGGCCGCCAGCGATGCATCAGTTGGTTACTGCTCTGAAAACCTGGTGATGATCAGTGTGTTCTGAAGGAAAAACCCCATCCTCCCTGTAACCATCACTCCACTCATGTGTGCCTGGCACACCAGCCTTAGAAAATAAGGCTCTCCCAATGCGTTTCCCTTGATTTCCAGATACCTCTGATTTATAAACATGCTCTCTCCTTTCCCCATCTCTCATCTCAGGCTACTTTGGTTCTAAAAGTTAAAGATAAATACACCACCAGCCCACTTTGTTCTTGTAAAAGGGAAGCTTGCTCCTGTTACCAGAATTGCTGCCTGGGTGCTATTAATTGGAGTCTTGTTGCTGGGTTGTTTTCGTTGTTTCTCAAGTACTGTCAGGTCCAAGACAATGTATGGAAACTGAATTATAGTCCCATGTAGATGCGTGGTTGAATCCTCCTCATGGCTCTGTGGGCTCATACAGCCTATTAAAATATTCAATCTTGGTTTCTTACTTGACAAGCCTGTCTGTAAAGGGCAGACATAGAGAACACCTCATTCTCTGGAGACACGGTACCCAGGCACACTGAGGTGTGTACATACTTGCCTTGTGCATGTGATTGGTCTTAGGCAAGTTCTCCCCTTCGCCCGTTATTTGGTAATGAAGATTGTTGAATGCATTTTTAATTACTCATGGCCTTTTCATTTTAAGGAGGGGATGGGTTTGCAGCCTCCTGCTTCCATTTTGACCTTGGAAAGTAACTTGTCCCCCTCCTTCCTCTTTTCCCCAGGACGGAGCTTTATCGTTCGCTCTTTGGGAAGATCTCCAATCCCCAAGAACCGGAGCAGAATTAGCAGGGATTGACCACAGAAGCGGGTTCCTCTCCCTGCACTGGACACTGCCCCATCTCCTGCCGTCTCCTTGGTCTGGGCTGCTGCTCGTCTGACCCAGAGCAAGGTCTCTCCAGCTGCTGGTTTGTTGCTATAAAACCCCACTGAAGGAGCATTCGATGCAGTTTCTGCTGAATCACACAGGCTCAGAAAGGAGAGCAGGGAGGTTCAGCTTGGCTGAACGCCCTCTCTCTGCCTTGAAAATGAACTCTGCTTCCTCCCAAAGACAATCCAGCTTTAACTGTTCTCTTTGAAATTCCTGACCTTGATTCTGCAAGCTGGGCACAGCGTTCTGCCAGGGGGACACACACGATTCAGAGCAGAGGGACCACCAGCCCCCCCTGCAATCAGGTCACCCACGTTTGTATTAAATCCGTAGAGATTTTCATTTGGGAGATGGGGGGATTGCTGGAGCGTGCTGTTCTGGTGGCTGGCTGCATATCTGGAATGTGTGACTTTAGTTTTCAGCGAGTCAAGAGGATTTAAATGTCATTTACATAATTAACATGGCCTTAAAACAGAGAAAAGGTGCTCTCGCTTGCAGGCAGCCAGAGCTCCCTGTTCACACTGTTTCTCAGTGAGCTCTCAGTGCACACAGGGATGTTGGCTGACTGGTGATGAGCACAGCACTGGGGTACATCTGGGGCTGTTTGCTGGTGAAGTCCAGCACTGATCCTGTGCACTGAATCATTTCTGCCAATCATGACCCTGAGCCGTCCTGTCTTCACCATCACCATCACCCGCTGCTGGGGGATGCCAGCGTGGGTGTAAAACTGGCCGGAGGAGAGGACTCATGTGAGGGGCTTGTGGGGTGTTCATATCCAAAGGGCAGAAGCTGGGAATTAAATCCCTGCAAGGGGGATCTGTCAGCCTGCTGTGATCAATCTGCAGTGAAGGTTATCTTGCGTAAATAATCGGTGCATACATGTGTGTGTACGAGGGCCGTTGCTTGTGGCCACGTGAACTGAGCTTTGTTTTGTGTGTTTTGAGCAATCCAATTAAAATGCGTTGTAACCTGGTGATCCAAGTGTGGTCAGGGCAGGAAACCCCACCAGCACGGTGTCACTTCACCAGCACTGCTTTGCCCATCCCCGTGTGCTGGGGGCTCTGAGGACACCCGCCACGCAGCATGGGAGTGTAAAGGCTTGCAGTTGCATTGACGTGTTTGTTGACCGTTTCTGAACTCCATGGGAAGGTCGGCTGGATTTTTCCCTGCCCATTGGGCTACAGGATCTCACTTTAGTTGTTCTTTGTTCCTAAATAAACATGCATTCTGGTTTTAAATGTGTAACAGGTTAGGTCACAAGGAAGGAAGCCCAAGCCATGAACTCTGCTTCAGGTGAGACCCTGTGCACAGGAGATGATCCCACTTTGTATCTCCGTGTGGGGATTGCTCCTGTCCCTCTGTTCCTGTCTCTGCTTGAAAAGGGCTGTGCTGCAGCACAGGTTTATCCTTCTATCCCCTCAGAAGGCTTTCTCAGTCCCCACAGCTGTCTGCAGACCTAATACTAATTAATCATTTTTGCACCTCATCATTACAGATTGAAGTCTTGGAGTCACCTGCTTCCAGTAACTGGCTTCCTAACACCTCCAGTGATGTATGGGGAGAAAAGAGCCCTCCACAGCAAGAGAGACCCAGCTCAGCTGCAGAGACTTGCCTGGAACCAGTTGCTGTGTGAAATCACAGAGGGTTTGAATGCTGTTTAACAGCAGAACAGGTACACCTGTGTGTGGGGATGGGTCTGGCTGGGTTCTACCACCCTGCACAAAGCAGATCCTGCAGCTCCATGTGAGGGGCTGCTCACAGAACTATTCCTTTGGGAAAGGGGTTTCTTTTGTGACTTGCTGTTTTAAAGCAGGGCATAAAAAGTGTGGTAATGCTGCTAAACCCAGCTCCTCCAACTGCTGCTCCCAGGAGCTCTGCTGCCTTTCTGCCCTGTCTTTAGGGAGCTGCTGGCTCCAGAAGCCATCAGAGCTTTTCTCTTCCCTGTTCCTCCCCGGTGCTGGTCCTCACCCCTCTGGATCGATGCAGGGAGCGGCAGCAGCATGGGGCAGGCTCCAGCCCTGTGCAGAATGGAGCATTTTTCTTGGCTTTAGAAAATAAGCAAGTGCCAAGGTGAGTATTGACTTTGTGTGGAAAACATGCGGATCATGGATGAATAAATCTTGGTGCTTGCTCACAGCGGAGCAGGAGCTGCAGCTCGCAGGGAAGTGCATTGATTTCTCCTGTTCTTCCCCCCCCTGCAGCTCTCTGGTCAGGATTTGCCAGGTGGAAAACACACTGAATGTCACCGTTGGCTCCTCTCTGCTCCCTTTCTGTTGCTGATGACCTTGTGCACAGCAAGAGAGCCCAGCAGCACTGCTCGTCCCTCTGTGAAGGTGCCGGAGTCACAGGTAAAGCAACATGCAGGGAGCTGTGGGGAGAAGGGCCCGGAGGCTCCATGGCTGCAGGGAATGGCTGATCTTTAAGCCACCAGTGCTGGGATATGGTGAGTAATCCCGTGTTCATTGGTGAGCCAGTTGGTTTAGTTTAGGCTGATGCCTGTCAGCGGCCTCCTCTTGGTGTAACCATCATCCAAGGCACCTCCTGGCAATGGTTCTGTCCTCTGTCTATCCTCCATTAGTTCCAGCTCCCCAGCAGACACCGGTGTCCCCACCCCTTGAACTGTACCTGCACTGATTTCTCAGCAGCAGCAAAGCTGTGTGGTCTTCCAACATCATTAAAATCTCATGGTTTAATAACCACCATTCTGGAAGGCATCAAGGGAAGTAAATCGGCTGCTTCCAGAGTTGGTGGTGGTGGAATGGGTTCATGCTGCTTGCACTGTCAGTGCAGGCATTAAGGGTGTTTAACAGAGAACACCATGGCCCTGACCTACTCTTGGTTTGCTGTGCTGGCAGGTTGTTGGGGTGCTGCTGGTGCTGTGCCACCCCTTTCTGCTTGACTCCTGTGTCCTTTACACTCCTAGCACCAGGGCATTCCATGTTTTACCCTTTTTTCCTGTTTGTGAGTGGGAGCTGGCTGTAGTGTTAAAGGGTAACACAAATGCTTTACATCTGATAACTGCTCATTCGCATTGTTCGAGGAGATAAGTCAAAGCCCTACTAAGCATGCTTTTGAATTCACTTATCAGTGCTTAACCAGCCTTTTCTCCTGCTGTCCCCTGTCACCACCTGGGTAGGGGCTGCATGGGGAGAACCTGGACTGGCAGTGCCCGCTCACGAGTCCCGTTTCATCTGCTGATGGTGCTGTTAAGAGCAGGGCTTTACTCCTGCTGTCGGAGCGGTCGCTCGCCTGGATTGGAGTGTGCTGCAGGAGGAGGTGCAGCCTGTGTAATCCCTGAGCAGCAACGCAGCAGAGAGGCTCCAGAGGTGACGTGCCCATGCCCAGCAGTGGGATGACACAGCTCTGCCCTCCATGAAGACACAGGTAACCAGGATGATTCCCACCCAGTTTTCCTCACGCTGCCAGTTAACAGCAAGGGAGATGCCTCACACACCACCCTCCACCCCACAGGCTGTTAATTCATGATACAGCTGCTAATTAGTACCTACACAAACGGGCGTTACACCTTTGCCAGACATTGCAGAGCAGCTACGCAGTGGATCGGGGAACGATGCGTGCGATGGGAGGGACACAGAGGGGCTGTGTTAATCCTTCCCCCCCACCTTCCAACAGCAAAGAATTTCAACTTTCAGACAAACAACTTCATTTACAAGTGTGTCTCTAATTAGCTGCAGAATTAGTAAAGCCGAGTTTTCCCCCCATAGATCGGCCGGAGCCCCGGGGGAGGCTGGGGAATAGAGAGAATCGCATTTCCAATTATTTTGTTGAATTGCTAATTTAGTTATTGTGCCGGCTGTAATTGTGATGGGTATTGGGTGTGCAATTCAATTTGGTTTAAATATTTGTGGGAAGGCTGAGCAGTAATGGAGCTGACCTATTTCATGGCCCACATTGAGAGAAGAGACTAAAACAAAACACAGCACCAGAGCCACAGTTTGCCTCCGTTTGTATTTTTGATGTTTCTCATCCCTCTTAAGACTGTTGCTGCAACAAAAGGTTTGCGTTAAAAGATGATGGCACTTTGATCTTGGGCTTTGGAGAGCTCGCAGCTTTGGTGCTGCTTTTCGTGGGGGTTTAATTGTAGATATTTTAGGCTAAAGAGTTTTAAATGTGTTTCTGGAGTTTGGGGGCTGGCCCCTTGTGTGTCGCTCACCCCCCCCCCCGTTTTAACTGTCAGGATTCTGGGTTGAAAAACAACTGCTGGAGTTGTGTTGGGAAACGTGCCCCCATTTAACATCACAGGAATGCCTTTAAGGTGGGGAACTGCCAACAGGTGTCTGTGTTATCACCCTCCATCCTGGTGCTTCCTCTCCAGGGGCTCCTGTTGGCCAGGTCCAAGGCCACCATCCCACCCCCTTAAGGACAATCACTGGGTGTTTGCTCACTGTTCCAGTCACTGTCTTGTTAAAGATGACAGTAAATCAATGGAGGAGGAACAGGACCCGCTGACGCCACGCCGGGATGGTGGCGGTGGGCTGGGAGTGAGCCGGGACAGGGGGGACACATCGACACTGCAGGCAGCAGAGCTGTAATTCATTCTTTTATTAAAAGAAGTTGAGGTAAGTGAAAGACTTCAGCACCAGCAGAACCGTGCGGCCCGGGGGCAGCTCCCCCACCCCTGCCTGCCGGTGACCGCGTCCACCGCCGGGACGGCACCGGTGCCACTGCCAGGGAACAGTGCTGGAGCCCGACCTCAGACCAGCACTGATGGCACCCAGGGGCTGGGTTTGCCCCTGGATGAAGCGGAGCCTCGCCCGGTGCCTGTACCTTGGGATGCCCCCCGAGCGGTCAACATTCCTGCCTGTCCTGTGTGTCCTGCTGCAGCGCACACTGGCATAAGGAAAAGCAGCTTTGGGGGTTATTGGGGGGGAGGGAAGGTCTTTTAAATGAAATTGGGGTTCTTAGCAAAGTCCTTCAGCTGACAGGGCTCCCTTGGCTGCTGGTCCCTTGGGAGGAGCATGGTTACCCTGGATTTGGGATGAGCTCCAGCACATTACACTTCAGAAGGAAAAAAGGTACAGGTGTGAGGCACTGGCACCATCATTAGTTAACTCTCCCATTAAAACATCTCTTCCTATTTATCTATATTAAAAGAGGAACTGTAAAATGTGAACTACCTTTAAGACCATCATTGGGGTAAGCTCTCCAGTGCTAGTTAGACCAGATCCACTACAGTGTTTGTGTACTAGGGATTGACTGTGCTTCCAACCAGAATTCCACCTTTTCTGAGCTTTTACTAGTGTCAGGAGGCCCATGAAAATACAAAAGTGTAGCAATAAGCTGGGGCCTGGGCTGGGTCAGCCTGTGGGGATGGGTGCTTACCTGCCACACACGTTCCTCACCTGCTCCAAGAGTGATCATTGGGATTACCAGAAATCATTTCTCTTACATTCCCATCTTCCCGTGTGCAGGCAGTGATGGAGAAAAACCTCTGCTCGGATGCACTGGACCAAGATTTCCTTGTGCGTTTCTAACCCCACTGCTGGCTGTGGCTCTGGCCTTTTCCCCTCCCCTGTGTTCTGCTGCAGTTTCCCACTCCTACAAAAGGGATTAGCACTTACACAACGGGATGCTCGTGTCTGCAAACCCCTCTGAGTAAGCAGGGCAGGAGGAGCAGAGGTGTTTGAGCAGCTGCGTTGTGGTCTCCTCTCTTAACCTCCTCTGAGAAGGGCTTTTCACGCAGTTTGCTGGCCAGGTCTAAAGGAATTGGGCACAAAGGCAAAGCAAGCAGGGAACTGCCCTCCAGAATCCTGCCCTGACACCGTGGTGGTCCCAGAGCCATCCCCGCAGCCTTCCAGGGCACAGGGGCAGCCCTGAAACATTCTTTCCCCTCCACTCCTCCCAGGTAACAAGACAGACACTGACCCAGAGCGCTGCTCCCCCCCCAGCCCCAGGACACAGGCAGGAGGGCTCTGGGCTCCCACAGGCAGAGCCCAGCCTTGGCGACGCGCTCACAGGGTCCCATTGGCACTTGTCAGCGGGCTCTGCGGTGCGCAGGCCTCACGGTGCCGCAGCACCCGTCATTGCCTGGCTGTGGCGCTGAGCAGCGTCGGTCCAGTCACGCTTTGTTAAATAAATAAGGTACAGGTAAGACAGCGGGGCCTGGGTTCCGCAGGCGCTTGTGTTTATCCATCACCTCCCTCGGGTCTCTGGCCGAGGAACGCGCTTCCTCTGGTCAGTGTGATTGGAAACAATACAGATGTCCCGGTGGCAGCGCTCCCTGAGCCTCCCGGTCGCGGTACAGTGGGCGCAGTCAAGCAGACAAAGGGCAATTCTGAGCTGCTGCTTTTTATCCTCCACTGTACCGGGCAGGGGCAGCGTGGGAAATCGATGCTCTTACGTTGACGAAGGGGAGTCCATTGTGGAAAGGATCCGCACGATCTCTGCTCGCTGCGTGGGTGATATATGCTGGGTCATGTGCACTATGGAATCCATGGCAACCTCCGGATTGGCCTGGACCAGGCTGGAAAGAGGCGAGAGTTAAGTGAGGGCAGCCCCGGCACTTGAACCCGAGAGAGCTGGG